CATGGTTTGAGTGATAGCTTTGCGGATTGTATAGTCGGAGTAACCATTAGCCCTAAGAGCTTGGTGTACGTGCTTGAGTTCACTGCTTATGTGTTCCTGGTCGGATATGCATTGGGCTCTATGATACAGAGTCTTGATGAGAGAATTCTTCTGTGATGGATGGTGGTGGGAATCCGGTTTCAGATAAGCATCCGTATGGGTAGCTTTCCTGTAGACAGAGTGGCTCATTGAACCATCAGGTCTCTTTTTAATTAGGACATCCAAAAAAGGTATCTTGCCATCTATTTCGACTTCCATGGTAAATCTGATGACTGGGTGTATGGAATTGATGTGGTCGAAGACGTTTCGGCCACAACGCAAGCAGCCGTCCTCAGGTTCTTTGTAAGCCATCTGGCTTCCATGAGAGATTCGTTCATGAGGCTATCCACATATACAAACACAGAGACAATTTCAACCGAGAAGATGGATTCTATCTTAGCAATCATTGGAAAGATTTGATAAATCATTTCAGTTCTTGATTGATTGTTCACGCTTACAGTGCCTTTCAGACAGCATACATAAAAACAAATTTCGTCTCCCCCCTCCTCTTTTCAAAAAATAGATGGACTAGTCCTGGCAAACTGCCATCGTTGCGCGTGACGCAAACGTTATTTTTATATATATAAATAAATATACCGTTTTCAAAATAAATTTATGCAAACCGACACACCTGATGATGACCGTTTGAGTTATGGTCGAAACGTCGTGAGAATTTTTTATTGTTTTATATATATTTTGTTATTTTGTTGTTTCTCTTCAACGTGACTTTACCGAAAAAACTAAGAATATGAATTACTGCAGTCACGAAAGCTTTAAATCAAAATTTAATCGCCTCTACGGGGAGGGTTTTCACATAACTTTAAGATCTTTCAACAAACTCCGGGATAAGAAAGCTCAGCTGATCGAGTCTCTCACCTTCCTGAAGAGATGCCGCGACTCTGGGGTAATACCAATCGCATTTACACTCACCTCTGCTACTGTAACTTCTTCTAATGCGAAACGAATTCTTTTCAAAACTAGCTTAGCTCTTATCTCAGAAAAAATCAGACTTATACGCACAGAACTAGATCAGTTAGACAAGACACTCTACAAATCACACTTATCATTGACGGCAATAATGTCCACATCGGATTGGGAACATGTAGACAATATGACTGCCTCTTCAGCTGCTACTATGTCGACCAAATGTAAGGAAAACCTGATTTCCAAATTTAACCTCCTCTTAAACAAAAGACCGGACCCACACACCAAAAAGTTAGACGTTAATAAAGTCGTAATTAATCGCAGTAACAGTTCTATTTCCGATGGTCTGAAATCCGTTTTAGCTAAAGGTCTAAACTTTGCAGTCACACCTAAACACATACCAGTTAATGATATAATTGCCCAAGTAGACGTTGCTCTCAGGGGCCTGGGTCACATCGCTGCAGACGTAGCAAGATCTGAAATCGCTGCAACCCTCAAAAACGCTAAGATGCCAGCTAGCAACCTCAGCAAAGATGAGCGTTTTGAATTATATAAATTAAAAAAGAGGAATGATATTGTAGTTCTCTCAGGTGACAAAGGCAATGCTACTGTTATCATGGATAAAATAGAATACAACAACAAAATTAAAGAATTACTCGACGATGGTAGTTATACAAAAATAAAAAGAGATCCCACCAACAGCCTCGTCACACAAACCAACAAAATAATTTCTGATTCAACCGCATTAATTGATCAATCTAAACAGTTTTCGTTGAAACCTTCTGCTGCCAGGCCACCAAGATTATACGGCTTACCAAAAATACATAAAGTTGATACACCTCTTCGTCCCATAGTCTCTACTATCAACTCCCCCACCTACAAACTAGCTCATTTTTTGTCTGAAATCCTGCGTCCTTTCACTGGAAAGACCACCTCTGCGGTACAAAATTCTACTCACCTGGTATCAACAATCAAGGGTATTTCCCTGTCCCCAGACGACCTGCTTGTCAGTTTTGATGTAGTTTCCTTATTCTCCAAGGTTCCTGTACCTGACACCATTGCAATCATTGAAGACTTGGTTCATCAAGGACTAAACACTGAGGTACCCCCCCTGGTGAGACACTGTTTAACCAATACATACTTCACTTGGAATGGAACTTTCTACAAACAAACTGAGGGCACCCCAATGGGCTCCCCCCTTTCTCCAGTTATAGCTAACATTTTCATGGAGAAATTTGAGACTGACGCCATCCAGACTGCCACTCTGCGCCCAACCTTATGGAAGAGGTACGTGGATGACACTTTTGTCATCTGGCCACATGGCCGGCCTGCTCTAGACAAATTCTTCGACCACATCAATTCCATACACCCAGCCATCAGATTTACCATGGAAGTCGAAATAGATGGCAAGATACCTTTTTTGGATGTCCTAATTAAAAAGAGACCTGATGGTTCAATGAGCCACTCTGTCTACAGGAAAGCTACCCATACGGATGCTTATCTGAAACCGGATTCCCACCACCATCCATCACAGAAGAATTCTCTCATCAAGACTCTGTATCATAGAGCCCAATGCATATCCGACCAGGAACACATAAGCAGTGAACTCAAGCACGTACACCAAGCTCTTAGGGCTAATGGTTACTCCGACTATACAATCCGCAAAGCTATCACTCAAACCATGAAGAAGAACCCTCTTGAGGAGCCTTTCAAAACCATCACTTTACCCTACATTGCTGGGATCACAAAAAAGATCTCCAAAATCTTGAATAAACACAAGATCCAGGTCCGTTTCAACACATTACATAAAATCCGTGATCTGGTTCCGTCTGTAAAAGATGTGATTCCGGACATACAATACCCTGGTGTCTACAAACTAAGTTGCCTCTGTGGTAGTAGTTACATTGGAGAAACCAAACGCCATATCTCGGACCGCATTCGTGAACATAAAGCAGACCTTAAACACGGTAGGACCAACACCTCGGCCGTAGCAGATCATTGTTCTAATTCAGTAGGCTCACATGCCATTGACTTTTCCAAGACGGAGGTTCTTTGTAAGCCATCTGGCTTCCATGAGAGATTCGTTCATGAGGCTATCCACATATACAAACACAGAGACAATTTCAACCGAGAAGATGGATTCTATCTTAGCAATCATTGGAAAGATTTGATAAATCATTTCAGTTCTTGATTGATTGTTCACGCTTACAGTGCCTTTCAGACAGCATACATAAAAACAAATTTCGTCTCCCCCCTCCTCTTTTCAAAAAATAGATGGACTAGTCCTGGCAAACTGCCATCGTTGCGCGTGACGCAAACGTTATTTTTATATATATAAATAAATATGCCGTTTTCAAAATAAATTTATGCAAACCGACACACCTGATGATGACCGTTTGAGTTATGGTCGAAACGTCGTGAGAATTTTTTATTGTTTTATATATATTTTGTTATTTTGTTGTTTCTCTTCAACGTGACTTTACCGAAAAAACTAAGAATACGTTCTACTTGATTAAATAGACTTTTTTAATAAATGTTTTCTCCTACAACATCAGAGTGCAGCGGCACATTAAATACGCACTACAATGACAATAGTTTAAAGCGATTTGAAGCATGTTTTATTTTGGGGGGGGGGCAGAGCTTTGTGACGTCATATTTGAGGGGGGGGTCTGACTTTTTGTGACGCCGTGTGACGAGGGGGGGGGGTTAAAAATCGTCCAAAATCGCGTGACGTCATTTATGGACGGCCCCTTACCTACCCATTCATTCAGGGATACAGTTCCACGTAAGATGCTTCGTTGAGCTATATAGTTCAGTGGGTCTTAGCTGGTAATATAAATGAAAGTTTATTTAGTTTTGAATAGGTGCTCGCTAACAAAACAAAAAAAACAACACATGCTTCAAACCGCCGAGGGAATAAGCCATTCGCTTACAACATCAATACGCCAATCGCTTACAACATCAATAAGCCAATCGCTTACAACATCAATAAGCCAATCGCTTACAACATCAATAAGCCAATCGCTTACAACATCAATAAGCCAATCGCTTATTCCCTCAGTCCAGCTGCTGTAAACTGCAATCTTTGGGCAGACGCTGGCTATTTTTTTTTTTAAATCAGGTCAAAACAGGTACAGTTTGCTTTTTAAATAAATGTTGAGAGTGTTTGAATGTATTCTTAGCTCTTTCGGTAAAGTCACGTTGAAGGGAAACAATAAAATAATAAAATATATAAAACAAGTTTGAACGTTTGCACCGCTAGTGTTTCCCATGAGTCACGGTCACCTGAGCTCGGGCTGGCTGGCAATCACGAGTTGTTGAGGCGACAGGTCATGTGGCCAAACCGGAGATGAAGACGCCGAGTTGAACTGGTCTGCAGCATTACGTAGAGAGATATATCTGGTTATTTGAACAAGCTAAGGGGCCGTCCATAAATGACGTCACGCTATTGTGGACGATTTTTGACCCCCCCCCCCTTCGTCACACGTCACAAAAAGTCTGACCCCCCCCTCAAATATGACGTCACAAAGCTCTGCCCCCCCCCCCCCCCCCCCCCCCAAATAAAACATGCTTCAAATCGCTTTAAACTATTGTCATTGTAGTGCGTATTTTATTTGTCACATTTCTCACCCCCCCCCCCCCTTCGTCACACATGTCTGACCCCCCTCCCCCCGCCCTAGGTGCGTGACGTCATTTATGGACGGCCCCTAATCCTTACGACTTCGTGCCGTGTGGTTGTGTTACGTTGAACAATAAAGGGCTGAGAGCCGTCCCTAGGGTACGGTGAATCGGAGCGCCCGCCCCAAGCCCCGCGTTTCGACCTCACGGTGTCAGATGCAATACTTCCAGTTTAGTTTGAAGGCATGGGGGGTGGGGGGGGGGGGCACACGATGTGGGATTTACCCCGGGTCCCGCAGCCAACGTATGGACGGCCCTGACAGTACTACGCCGCCAAGTAAAATAAACCCTTTATCACAGAAAATACGGTACGTGCAAGAGTCGTATAGATGTTTATGCTGGTTCCTTACGCAGGTGAGAGTTCATTGATTTACAGACTCGTTTTGTCAAAGTCTTCAAGGTTACAGAGCAGAATGGTATTTTTTTTACAACTGAGGCCAATGACATATTTGAACACCATAATCAATAAGAAGGTTGTGAGTTACTACTCCGCTGAGGGTTAACTCAGCCCGTAATTTTTGCAGGGTCGATCAAACTGATGCACATTTTTAGTAAACGGTTGGTTTAAGACGGCTAACAGGATGAGTGCTTTCCATTTGAAAAGGAAACGATTTCCATGTTTTGGTCAAAAAATTAAATTCGTTTATCAGTGGCGTCACTAGGGTGGTGCGGACCGCACCGGGTGACACCATCAGAGGGGGTGACACCATCAGAGGGGGTGACACCATCAGAGGGGGTGACACCATCAGAGGGGGTGACACCATCAGAGGGGGTGACACCAAAATGACTGTCTATACAATGTTTGTGCAGTGTTTCAGCAGAAATTATTTTTTTTTATTAAAAAAAAATATCCTTGTGGTTGTAACAAAAACATTTTTCGTAAGCCCAGCTTACATGTACTGTATTAATATACCTACAAGGCTAAATCCCTGTGCGAATTTACTTTTTGAACCTTCGAATGCCCTCCGGTCAGAGCTGTTATTACCCAATTACAGTGACGCTTCGAATCACGTGCTTTCGTCTGCACGCGCTGTTGCTGCTCGTGTTTTTAGTCGCTGGTTTTGTCAAATTTTCTGGTGTTTTAGGTGCAATACTGTGGTAATTAGTATTTGTGAACTTAGATCAATAACTTTTTTGAGAATGGAGTAATTAAAGGAAATATTGGCATTTAAAGGTGTAATTTAAATGTTGCTAGTTGTTTATGTCACTATTGCCATTACATTCAGTTATTTACGGGAATTACCATTTACCAGAAACATTAGTACAAAACACATTACTAAGGATTCTGTATGGTCTGGTATGGACGGAGGCCCATGAGGGGTGACACCATGAGTTACTGCACTGGGTGACACCAACCCTAGTGACGCCACTGTCGTTTATAAAACTAAAAAAATAACCAGATGTACAACAGCAACATTACTAAAGCAAAACCACACACGTAAGAAAAATACATCTTTATTTTAGGCCACATCTTACGAAATAAATGCCACAATGTGGCTACTGCACTCAAGTAACCAATCACTTGCTGAGAAATAAACACGTGCTCCCTATACGTGCAGTATAGCCAAGCCGTGGTGGCAATACTGCACGTGGCTGCCTGCAATCCAGCACTGCGGAGGCAATGCCGATTGATCACCGTACAAATGCAGCTAAACTCTTTTTTCTGTGAGTGTCCAGCAGTTATACCTTGACTTTCCAGAAGGCGGTACAGACAAAATGTGGACTCCACCTGTTCGGTCTGTACAGGAGAGATTTCCCTCTCGCATATTTTGGTTTTCTCGAGGTGCTCCGGTTTCCTCCCATATCTTAGCACTAATTAAATGGCCGATAACACCTGAATCTGTAGACTGCTGAGCTTGGACAACTGTTGGTGCCGGCTCAGCGTGTGGCTCGCGTTACAAGTTGAAATTATGACTCGTTATAACGTTTTAGATAAAAACAAAACATCTGAACTGGCACACACATTCATTGGCAGATGTTGCAATACCACACTGCCTCCAAAGCATTAACTTCCATCTCTGAATAAACACCATCACAGTATTCTATGGACAGCGTTATGCTACATATTATAGGTACAGCCCTTTGTATTCACCCACTGCTGAGTGCAGGTTGTTGGCGGGGATTCTTTTACCACCGCAGAGATGGGAGCGGTAAAATCGGCTCGAGATGGCGACCACTTTGGGCATGTCTTCATCCAGCAGTGGAAAGACTACGGCCGGTGGCGATATCTCTTCTTTGCCGGAGTGCGTTGCGACGTCCGGAAACGCCGGTGGCGCTAGTCCTCCCGCTCGCCGTCCGCGGGCGCCACGACACTCAGGCACCGGTCGGCGAACTCGACGAAGAGCGGCTCCTGCATGGCGAGGCGCATCGCCGTCGCCTTGTCCTGCGCACTGTCGATCTCCACCAGAAGCGAGCGCAGGTGGGGGTTGTCCAGCAGTGCCCTCAGGGCAGCGCTCTCGTCTGCAGCGCACGCAAGTTTCACGCAACGCCGACCGGTGACGTGGTCGTCCCCATGCACCGCTTTGCCCGGCCAACGTACCGCCGCACAGAGATCTCGGCGAGCTGTGATGAGTGACGTCCCTGATAGACCTGGCACCACTTTTACCAACCTCAACTGCCCAGTGTGGTGAAGGATGGCCAAACAATACTGGTCAAACATAGGGAGGCTATTGTCCAGTAGCGGACTGACACTGTTGAGTATAACTACAGTAGATTATTGATTATCCGGCGGCTTTGGGAGGAAGGGAGTGCCGAATTTTCTAAAACTCCGGATAATCACATTATTCAAAATAGCTTTTTGCACATCCTTGCATTTCATGTTTTTAAGTGCTGTGTATGTTTTTAAAGTGTTTTTAAATTGTTTGCGATATGAAATTAGCATAAACATACCAATAGACAAAAATAAATACCCTACTGTAAAAGTTGCTGAATTTACTGTAGCTTACTTACCACTTCAATCTGGAAGACATTGCATGGGCTGAGGTGCTACGCTCTTGTTTCAACGACATGGTTATGTTTGACGATCGCTGGATTGATACGAATGCCGAATTACACACACATTTCACCAGACCGCACTGATGTTTTTGTTATTGCAGTTATTAGTCATGAAAAATGTATATATGTGCAGTATTTTCATTGTTTAAGTTATACGTAGTGTATAATGTAGTATATTTCACAGTAAAATCAAAGATAGCTACTTTTTTTGTCACGCACATGGTGTCGATCACTGGACTGGTACAACTTGTGGAGTGGTTTTGCCGGATCGGCCTGAGACCACCAGATGTTGGAAGCCGGATAATCGATGATTAACTATGTCAGTTAAAGACACGGTCATTTTCAATGGGGTCATAGGTGGAACCGGCAGTTTCAGCTGATGCACCAACGACTCACCTAGCAGACGCAATCTGGTTGGGGGCACTTGGTCAGAATCTTCATCTGCACCATCATAAGTATTGTTGTCCACTGCTGGTGGAAAAATAGCAACAATGTCAAACGTGATCAGCTATGACGCAATGTCAAATCAACAAGACAAGCAAGGTTGTTTTCGAGCCAGCGTGAATCGCAGATGGTTTATAACTTCATGCTTTCCAAAGCAACCGCCTGAAGCCTGCACAAGACCGCAGTTTGACTCAAGTCTGGGCCTCACAGATGAGCACTTAAAATAGACGCGCTGCTAAAATAAGGGTACAAATCGCACGTGAAACATCCTTCATTTAGTGTATGATAACTGATCGCGAACGACATGTGCCAAGACAGATCAGGAGCCAAGGGGGAATTTACGTAAGAGCTCCAGAATATTGGGAACAGTTGGTGGAAAGAGCAGCTTGTGGGGGTTATTTGACCATGTTTCACCACGCTTGTCACTATAGGTTGGTGAAAACGCAGGGCAAAGTTATTGTAGCATAGCACAGCACGATTGATGTTTGCTGCACTGCTCTCTGTCGAGAACTTACAGTTCCTGTTTCGTGTTTTATGCAAGGTGGTCGTCCATCCAAGCACTCTGCAGGTCAGTGATGGGTAACCTAAACTAGTGGCGCCACATGAGCAGCCCTCTTTCTCCTCAGCAGGCCACAAGCTTGACATCGTGCTTGTGCACTCATCATGACCCCACGCATCACTCTAGACACACTTAGACCAAGCCACCACAAGGGGCTCCACAGCACGCAGGTGGCCAACCACTGATCTAGGCTCGATACCGCTTCATTTCCGAGACGTGACACGGTCAGGTGCATTCTGGGTGATGTGGTCCAAGACAAACATGTTGCGATCATTCAAATGGTGAACGCGTAAATCAGGTGTGTCTGTGGGTGTGCGTTTGTTGTACACCACACACCCTTGTCGTGCCTTCTGTCAAGAGGGCTCCCAGCGGACGTGACGGCAGCAGTGTTGGGCTTTGGAGTGCAGTTGCTGCTCCCTGACGAGACAGCAGGGAACATGATGGGACCTCTCTTGCCAGCATCAAAATATAATCATTGGTTTTACCCTTTCTGGCAATAAAACAGGTGTTAAGATGTTAAAACACCAAACAGAAACCTTTTGGAAAGAATAATGTCTGCATTAACCACACATACCTGTGGTGAACGTGCAAACAAGAACATGCTATAGTAGTATATGATGCATCGTCTTTGAAACTGATTGGTCCACACCAGAGACAGCTCTTTTTAGAGCCTAGTCTCAAACGGTGTTAAACCAGAGAACGCCAAAAGGCGACCAGCACAAAGACAATGCCACTATCAGGGCGTTATAGCTCGGGGTGAGCAGCTACATCATGGGATCTTGCCGGTATCAAAATACCAGAACATGTTTTTGTATGCATGTTCACCACAGGTATGTGTGGTTAATGCAGACATGATTCTTTCCTAAAGGTTTCTGTTTGGCGTTTTAACATCTCAACACCTTGACTTAAAGCTTTCGTGACTGCAGGAATTCATATTCTTTGGGTTTTTCGGTAAAGTAACGTAGATAGGTTGAAATAAAATAACAAAAAACTATCTACGTGACTTTACCGAAAGACCCAAAGAATATCTTAACACCTGTTTTATTGACAGAAAGGGTAAGACCTATTCTTATACAGCAGAGGACGTTTGTCAAAACAGTCACGCACACCTCTGCTGCTACCACATTTACACAGTGGCAAACCATTAATGTAGTAATTTAATTCGTTTTTTGTGTGATCCACAGCTGGCAATGCATTTGTTTGTTAAACAACTGCCAGTTAACGTGTCTGTTAAAATTATTACTCACGCTTGTTTACAGTTAAGCCTCACAGGTTCTCAAGACTGTCAAGTTTCCCAGTAGGTGGCAATGTTGCATGTGTAAACACACCAATACAATGAAAAGTAATTTTAACTGCATATTTAAAACCACGGAACTAAATAATTAATATTCACCCCGTTGTTTATCCACTGCTGGATGATGACCTCCACATGATGTGGTAGTTGTTGGGGTTGACTGACCATACTTCACCACCACGCTGGTCAGTGTGGGATGAGGGGGAGGCCCAGGCCCAGTGCAGATACACCAAACTCAGATGGGATGGGTTTCACTGCTGCGTTGCGAACAATATTCAGGCTGCAGATTTCTGGTTTAATTGAATTGGCTGTTATACTTTTGGGTAGATTTTCCGACGTTCCAAATTTTGGCTTGATCCGAGTCCAGCCTGCACGTACCGCTGTGGCTTGTCTTTAATGCATATCTAATGGATGTCTCGACCTCTATACGCGTCTACGCGGGTTTACTATATGGCCCATAATTTGGGTTGCATGGCCACAACCGCACTGTGGGCTGTCTTTAATTTCCCACATTTTCTTATCGCATGCGCGCATGAACCGTGGTGAGCACGTGCTTGCTGAACGAACGGCGGTGTGCGTTGTGTTTTACCTTTGTGGACTTTATAGCACTCCACCGAACAGCTGCGGACAGAGACGTTCAAGTTGTAAGCTCATACAGCTGTCGCCATTCGCCACGTCAACACGGCGCTTGTGCCAGGCTAGGTGCACGCACACACGAAATATTCCCGCCCGATAGCCTTGAGGAAAGTGCTGTTGGCGAGCACCTTCGCAGGCCGGCACACCGACAACGGTGGTGCTACTAGAACTCCACGCAAGGCCGCCTTTGTACCAGGCACACTCGTTTAATGCTAAGTCGACCAAGTGGGAGACCCAGCGAGCGATAAATAATAGTTGCCGCTGTGAACCGAACTCGGGTCGCCGGGTTTCGCAGCGCAGTTCAGCGCTAACCACCGCGCCACCAATCCCCACACAGGTACAGTAACTACCCGGGCCACGTACAGTGTGGTCCAAATGTCTTGTGACACCGCCCCCACCCAATTAAATGACCCCTAACATTGTTTTATTTTTGCGTATTCATTTCTGTTGTCGTACCCCTACTAGTATCCCAAAACATTACGTTTTAGAGAATTAAATAGGGGTAGAGGAGGGGGGGGGGTCACAAGACATCTGGGACGACAACTGCACTACACGTGCTACGGTGTATCGGCAGGGCGCTCTGTGTTTCGTCACCGCGTGGTTATTATTAAACATTGTATACACGTAGCACGTACTACGATGGTGTACCGCACGTACTATGGGCTTTCGCACGCGGGACACTTGTACTTGCGAGGAGAGAGCGCGCACACGGCGCACACCGCTGCCTTTTTCATCGCCTCCATCGCTCGTTCCTCACCGCCACCTAACAGCAGCAGCAGCCAATCGCAGTCGAGCGGCTATGTCACGCGACCGAAGCGCGACCAATCGCGCGCGAGGACCCGCGGCCTCGGCCTAGCGCTGTAGCCCGCGCGGCCATCTTGGGTAGGGGGAGCCGGTCCCGCGTCACGTGACGGATCGAGGACGCTGCCACTGCATATTTCCTGGACTGTCCTTGTTTATTTAACAAATATAATTATTACGATTAGCAACATATTATTTATGCACGCAATAATATATGCATCAGAAACACGGGCATATATTTTGTTTCAACGTTGTATTCCATACCTGTCAACCCATACGGTTTAAGACGTCGGCTTTCGCGACAAATATCCATAATACAAATATTGACTTAAAGCTTCCGTGACTACAAGAATACATATTCTATGGGTCTATCGGTAAAGCCACGTGGATTATAAAAATAATAAAATTATATCTACATGGCTTTACCGAAAGACCCATAAAATATCCACAATACAGTTTTTGGGGGGGTTAAATCGCGTACTAGTAACTAATTGGCACGTTCTGTTTACGTGACAACCCTTACTAATGGGCTGTGTCGGGTGGTGGCGGGTTTAACGAGACACTTATAGTTACGCGATCGACCCACCAAAGAACCCCTATTACCCAAAATCTATTGTTTTTATTCTTAGCTCTTTCGGTAAAGTGACGTTGAAGGGAAACAAAAAATAAATAAATAAAACAATAAAAATTCTCACAACGTTTCGACCATAACACAAACGGTCGTCATCAGGTGTGAAAAAGGTGTGAAAAACCTGATGACGACCGTTTGTGTTATGGTCGAAACGTCGTGAGAATTTTTATTGTTTTATATATATTTTATTATTTTATTGTTTTCCTTCAACGTGACTTTACCGAAAGAGCTAAGAATACGTTCTACTTATATTCTTGGTTCTTTCGGTAAAATCACGTAGAAGGGAAACAATAACATAATAAAAATCTAAAACAATAAAATTATCACGACGTTTCGACTGCAACACAAGCAATCATCATCAGGTGTGAAAACCACAGCAAGAAAATGTGAAAAAAGCGGCGGTTTTTTTTTACATTAGCACCACAGAGAGCGATTTGGCAGTTATTCAGATGGACGAGTCCATCTATGTTCGGAAAAGAGGAGGGGGGAGACGAAAATAATGGATGCGGTCTGAAAGCCACCATAAGCGTGAACAATCAATTAAGACCTGAAATGGTTTATCAAATCCTTCCAATGATTGCTAAGCCAGAATCCATCTTCTTGGTTGAAATTGTCTCTGTGTTTGTATATTTGGATAGCCTCATGAACGAATCACTCATAGTGGCCAGATGGCTTGCAGAGAACCTCTGTCTTGGAGAAGTCAATGTCATGTAAGCCTACTGAATTATAACAGTGATCTGCCACGGCCGAGGTGTTGGTCCTACCGTGTTTAAGGTCTGCTTTGTGTTCACGATGCGATCCAAGACATGTCGTTTGGTTTCTCCAATGTAACTACTACCACAGAGGCAACTTAGTTTGTAGACGCCAGGGTACTGTATATCCAGAATCACATCTTTTACAGACGGAACCAGATCACGGATTTTATGTAATGTGTTGAATCGGACCTGGATCTTATGTTTATTCAAGATTTTGGAGATCTTTTTTGTGATCCCCGCAATGTAGGGTAAAGTGATGGTTTTAAATGGCTCCTCAAGAGGGTCCTTCTTCATGGTTGGAGTGATAGCTTTGCGGATTGTGTAGTCGGAGTAACCATTAGCCTTAAGAGCTTGGTGTACGTGCTTGAGTTCACTGGCTATGTGTTCCTGGTCGGATATGCATTGGGCTCTATGGTGCAGAGTCTTGATGAGGAATTTATTCTGGGATGGACGGTGGTGGGAATCCGTGACTCATTGAACCATCAGGTCTCTTTTTTATTAGGACATCCAAAAAAGATAGCTTGCCATCTTTTTCGACTTCCATGGTAATTCTGATGGCTGGGTGTATTATTTTATTGTTTCCCTTCTACGTGACTTTACCGAAAAAACCAAGAATATGAATCCCTGCAGTCACGAAAGCTTTAAATCAAAACGTTGTACTTAGTTAAATATATATTTTTTATATATATAAATGTTTTCTTCTACAACATCAGAGTGCAGCGCCACATTAAATACCCACTACAATTTGACAATAGTTTAAAGCGATTTGAAGCATGTTTTATTTTCAAAATGGAAATATGGTTTGGAGGGTGGGCAGAGCTTTGTGACGTCATATTTGAGGGGGGTCTGACTTTTTGTGACTTCGTGTGACGACGGGGGGGGGGGGGGGGGGTCAAAAATCATCCAAAATCGCGTGACGTCATTTATGGACGGCCCCAAACGCCAAGCGACCAGCAAATAAATCAAAGCGTTCCTTGAAATGAGCAAGATTATACGAGCTTGGGGAAATAGCGTGGTTGAAACTAAACACTGGTAGGGTGAGTCCTCAACATGGGGGGGGGGGGAATCGATTATTGAAGGTCACGGGATTAGTAACCAAGCAGCTATAGATGAGGAGGCTGACCGTCGATGAGCAAGTGCTGAATCATCGATCACCCTGACTGCCACTTACAATGAATTATATCCGGTGCGTTGAGGTAGGGAACTTGGGTGTTCCTCTCCAGATATGACGACATTCTAACGTGGACTGAATTTGTGCTTTGTTTCGTGGTTATAATTGTTCAGTTAAAGAGGCTTTAAGCACAGACTCTTTAAGCCAGATTGTTGTGCCAAGCAGCGTAATGATGTTACAATGGATAACACCAATTAAATGGTCGAACTCTAGAATTACCAGTCCACTGAGATGCATTTGCAACTATTCTTTTTTGCAGCGTTACATTCGGTAAGAGAGATGAGAGCTATCGACAGTGACACCATCTCATAAACGAACTCTCCATATTGAGATACTGCTGCTCGGCAGTTAAGGCGAAACCAGAGGTCGAGTTAAGTTTTCCCAAAAGTGCTGAAATTAAGGATAAAGATTTACAATCCCAGTAATGTTCATGAACTTAACAGTCTTCTTTGGTTCTTTCGGTAAAGTCACGTAGAATGATAATAAAATAATAAATTGATAAAATAAAATAACACAATAATATTCTCACGACGTTTCGGCCACAACACAAGCGGCCTTCATCAGGTGAAGGGGGCGAGACTGTCTGGTAGGACAGCGCTGGAGTGAAAGAGCCACGTTCAGATACGGCCTTAAAGCTGTGTGAGAGGAACAAAGCGCCTTGACAAAGGAATTAGCATATAATTTAGCATTGAAATGGCTGAATGATTAGCTTGTGACTGGTCACAGAAATAGCTATGTTAAATCGAAATTGAACTTAACAGTCATGGCGCATATCAATGTTGTCGTGGGTTTGATCCCGACCCTGACGCCTGTGTATTTGGAGTTAGCGTGTCTCTCTCTCCCCGTGGTCGTGTGGGGTTTTCTCCAGGTCCTCCGGTTTTTCCCTCCACATTTGGAATCAACATCACCACGCGTTTCGAGCAGGGATGTTAAATACCCGGCCCCCCAAGCCCCTTCCTCCAGGCCCGCCACGTGTTTAAAAGTTTAAGACTTACTTATTGTTCGCATTCCTTTTTTATTTTAAGCTTCTATCTAAATTCAACCTGAATTTAAATCGGAAATTGAAACGGATTTGGCGCGACCTTCCGCAATAAAAGACTGCAAATCATATCTCTCCCCGCGCATTCTAAACCATCTCTCCATGCCTTCACATGGACATCCACCCTTCCCCACCCGGTTGACCCACTGTAATGTTTGCACGGACCCCCGCGTCCTCTCCACGGCCTCTTTATATGGGCGATAGACATCCGCGGACGTACCCCCCGCCCGCCCTCAACCACCTGTGTCCCTAGAAATCCGAGGAAGTTCCTCACGCGACTTCTATAGTCCTCGACTTACGAACGCGCTACGTTCCTGAGTCGATGTGTTCGTATCGCGGAACCCAATGTTTATTTGTAGAGTTATGAAATGTTTTGATACTGCCAAGGGAGGCCCCATGATGTCGCTGCTCAACCCGAGCTCTCCTGATAGTGGCATTGTCTTTGTGCTGTTCGCCTTTTGGCGTTCTCTGGTCTAACACTATTTGAGACTTGGCTCTGAAGAAAGCTGTCTCTGGTCTGGACCAGTTTCAAAGCCAATGCATCATATACTACCAAAGTATGTTTTTGTTTGCATGTTCACCACAAGTATTGTGGTTCATGCAGACATGATTCCTTGCAAAAGATTTATGTTGGGTATTTTAACATCTGAACACAATTTTTATTGCCAGAAAGGGTAAAGCCTATTCTTATATTTTGATACTGGCAAGGGAGGTCCCATGATCATATAGTTCAATAAAAAAAGGGAAGAATTGTCAAACTCATAAATAAGAAATATTTAAGTTACATGTAACACAGTCATATACTCTAGCAAACAAAACATAAAAGTGTCACGTGGAAAAAGTTATATTTTAACTTACCTCGAGTCAAACAATTTACTGTCATGGTGTAATATGCGAGTTGCTGAGACTCATTACACCTCGCGGAGGATCGCTCCGCCAAGCAAAATGGTTTCGCAGTTCGGTTCAAGAGTACGACCGGACATTCTCAAGTCGGGTGGTTAAAAAAAATATAGATCTTATGGCGGTTCGTTCGTAAGTGCAGATGGTTCCCAAATCGGACGTTCGTATCTCGCTGTCTGTACACGTAAGCTCTACTCATACGACTATCCTTAATCACTCCAGCAGCAAAATCCATCTCAATTAAAAATTCGAGCGTGGGAAAATAAATGTTTTTGAACTGTGATATAAGTCGCATAGCCTAATTGTTATCAAAGGAAGGTCAATAAAGGGTGTAGAGTTGTCCAAGTGGAGGAGTTCATGTTTATTTGCGCAGGCTAATGGAAAGCCAAGATCTGCGCACAGCAAATAAAGGTAGCAAGAGCCCAGTCACTTGTTCCAAACTTCGATGCAATAGTCCAAAGAGGTGTGAAGCATCAGGAAGCAAGCAGCCGCAGAACTGAAGAGCAATACAAA